CTTAAAAAAAAAAACATTGTGTTATAACAGTCCATCGGTCTCCCTTCCATCTGGACTCCTCTGTTACAACTTGGAAGCAAAGCCTGCAATGCTTTTCACCAAAAATTTATTACTAAGCTACGTTTTTGTATTCACCTTACAATTATCCTGTAATTTGGAAGGTAACTGAACACAAAGAAGAGATGCTAGCAAAGGAAGAGTCTGAATATACACTTTGCTTTTCAGGCATCACTTTAAAGCTCTATTATTGCTATTACTTTGGGACAATCAGAAAGTGTGACTTTCTGTCATAGTCACTTAAATCTCTGCTACATTTTTGTAAAGGATTTTGAAGAAGTCAAAAAGGAAAAGCTAAAAGGTTTTTCTACTGGTTTTAAACTAAGACAGGGGAGGTTTAGGTTAGAGATTAGGAAAAAGTTTTTCACCCAAAGGGTGGTGGCACACTGGAACAGGTTTCCCAGGGAGGTCGTGGATGCCCCATCCCTGGAGGTATTCAAGGCCAGGCTGGATGTGGCTCTCAGCAGCCTGGTCTAGTGGTTGGGGGGCCTGCATATGGCAGGGGGGGTGAAAATAGGCGAGTACTATGGTTCCTTTCAAGGCCATTCTATGATTCTAGCCATCCCAGCACAGATGGTTGCTTAAATGTTAGAGGTTTACTACCTCATATAATTCATGATCCAAGGTTTCCACTATGACACTTTCACTTGACTGGTCGATGCGGACAACTGGCTTCCTGAGCTTCACCCGGCCTCCCAGCCGCTCCATTATTTTCTCACTGATCTGGCCAGAGCCCCCGACAAACTTCCTCTCCTGAAACACAAGAAACAATAACTCGGCAAAGTGCACCCAGCAGAGCAGTGCTTGTGAAGCGTATATCATGACAAACACTTTGCCTGGCTTTTCAAACAAACCCCATTCTTCTGTTGTTATCAAAACACTTTCGGGAAGTTTGGCAGTCTCTCACCTGGAAAACCTATCCATGTTACTTTCTCTTTCAGTGAACTCCTCACATACTTCCCATATTTGACCACCAGCCAATACTATAAATATCAGTAATCTCATGAGAAAATCCCTTCTCATGTGGTCTCCAAATGGATTCCAAAGACCTGTATGAATCAGCAAGTCTTCTGAAAAGTGCTTAAACTTTTTAACTTTTCTCTGAGCTCACTCTTATCCCTGCAGAGGTCTGTGGATCAGAAGAAGGAACCCTGATCCTCAGATAACAAGGTATAAGAAGTGACGTACCTCATACCAAAAATGTCACCTGCAATATATAATCTAACTCAAACTAAAATCACCTCTAACATAATACAGAATTCAAATAATATTTTATTCAACATATTTACAGTTATCTATAATTATGGCTTACCTATGCATATTTATGCATTTTATCATGTTTTAATGTATTCACATTTTCAGTTAATTATTTATGATTAAATAATTTGTATTTCTAAAAATATAATTATTCCTACTACAATTAGTAAAATTTGCATTTCTCAAGGAGAAGACCACTAACAGAGTCTTTACTTTATTGAAATGGAGAAGCAGCTCTAACATACCAGATTTCAAACATTTCAGAGCAATATCATATTTAAGCAGGGGTGTTCCTTTTCTTCAGGCTGATTTTAAGATCTTAACAGTTCTAATCCTTGGAAGCTAGCATCCTTAGGAACCCACCTTTGGGCTACATTTTCATTATTAATTTGGAGCGCTCTACACACTTGTGCAGCTAGCACTGCCATTTCCATTAAGTGCTTCTGAAGTGGTAAGGCTTGCTTCAGCCTCATGACAGAAATAAGCATAAGTAAAACTTGCTTTTTTAACTGTGGATAAGCAAAGTATGTGTTCCAACCAGAGCCGAGAAGGAAGCCAGCGTCAGGAAAAGATACAAATCTACTGACGCCTGGTTTGCAGGCCTAGTTTGCATCTACTGCCTAGTTTTGCAAGATCCAGAATAACGTGTAAATGAATAAAACTAGTTATTGGTGTGCTACTGGCTCAAAATCATGGACACTTCAGTTGGCTCTCTGAACTAAAATAAACAAGCAAAAGAATGAAGTTAAAACAGGCCCTGTCACAAGCCACAGAAGGTGATGGCTGACAGTACCTGTCCTCCATTGGTAGTTGAGAATATCCTTTTTGTGCCCCCACACTGCTTCACGTACCACAAAAACCAAAGGGCAGAGACCTCGTGGGGTTCAGAAGTGACATCCACATTCACAAACAGAGTTGCGAAACTCTTGGCAGCACTGCAACAAAGACAAGAAAGTGAATTAATTTAAAAACTGAAGAAGGGTGACAAGATTGCTCTTTAGTAGGTGAGAGACTGTCCTTGGCAACCTTTTCTTTCACTGCAGGCAAAGGACTCCTTAACTTCAGTTGAAGTAGGAAACATTCAATTTCTTTTACGCAATATTTTTCAAGTAACCCTGCAAAATATGTTTAATCAAGCACTGTTGTATTCCAGACAAATTAGGGCTCCAGGAGACACAACAACCCAGGAAACCTAATGTCACTTTATGCTACTAACACAAAGTTAGCTGGTCATCCTAGACTCAGGATTAAGGAAAGCAAGTCCTCCTGTCTTCTCTGGGCTCCAAAACCACCCTGTCCTCTCATGGTTGTTGGGTTACATACAATATCTGCAGCTGTTTGCACCTGTTGAATGCCTGTCCCTTAAGCACACATCATAGAGATTATTAAACACTTGCCATAAAAAAAGTTAGGGATCTCATCTAAACTATGTAAGCCTTCTGAATTAATCAGCATCCCCTCACTGCCCACTCCTCTGCTGTGCTCAGGGAGGGTGCTGCAGCTGGAACGCGACATGTGAAGAAATGTGGGTAGGAAGTCATAAGTGAAGAGACAGCAAATACACATTCACGCAAAAATCTGGTAAGAAAAGGGAAAGGATACTTTTGGTTGTTCAACTCAGTATTTTAAACAGTGGTCTGGTAGCCAGTGGTGATGAACACAGAAGTGGAAAAGTGGACTGTGTCTGAAAAAGGATCACTTCTTTGTGTCCTCCAGTTGGTGCTTTCGTAACAGCTCTACTGAAAAACACCATATAAACCTGTCCAAGATTTTGGGGTGCACTAAGACAGAGTTAATTAAGGCTCAGGGAAACATTTATTCTGCTAGAAGCAAAGTACTTCCTCTGCCCTCACTCTGAGGAGGAGTTTAAAGGGACATGGACAGGACTAGGAGATGTACAGCTTAACTGCATTGTGACTGATAGGAACTGAGATTCTACACTATTTCACATGTCAGGCATCAAGCAATCAACAACTTTCAAAACCAGTACAGAATCCACTTTTAGTTGCTTCTTTCTTTCTTCAGTCTTCGAACTTTCAAAAAAAGAAAAGTGAAAAGTGTAACTCCTACTATTTCAAGCAGCTGTAGATCTACATAGAGAAAAGGCAGCTTCTGTCCTTCCTAAAAATGCAAAGTCCCACTCAAGTAAAAAGCTGATCCATTTTCCAAAAAACTGGTGCATTCTGGCTTCACTCTTGACAGACAAAAAAATACAGAAAATATTTATCATTTTTTGTCTGTATAAACACATACTGTAAAATATTATAAATTCTGAAAGATATTTTGTCTAGTGGGAGAATTAGTATATGTATTTATTAATATTTCATAAGCAGAAGCTATTAGATGGTGGTTAAATTCTCCTAGTTTCTACTGCCTTCTCCCATTGCTTTCCAGCATTTCAGTTCCCAAGTTTCCCCTGATATTTTACCTACGAATGGCAGTATGATTTCAACTAAGAGCACTCAGGGTATTTACAGCATGCAACTCTAGCCAAAAGCAAATCTGTACAGTCTGTTAGATGAGAGGAAATAGTAGAAGATCACCCTTCTGGATCATTACCTTCCCAGGCAGGAAGTTTCTACAGCACATTGCCTAAATCTTGAACAAACAAGGCAAATCAAGCTGAGATGCACGTATAAAATCTGAAAAGCATCTTGGAATTAAGGGAGGCTGACAGTTATGCCAATGTAAAATGTCAAGTCTTATTCCATCAGAGTTTGAAAAAATATAACCGTAGTCACGTGAGCTATTGGATATTCAATGACTACCAGTGCGTGGCATTTCGCTAACTTGTAGAGTTCCTTACCAAATCAGAGGTTCAGGTGGCCAGCGGAACTCCCAGCATACATTTCTTTTGGTTTTACTGAATATGGACAGTGATACAAAGGAGAAAGGATTTCTATATGCTTTTGTGCAATTGTCACTCTTGTTAAAGCAAAACAACCAGAAGATTAAAAGTTTTTGGACAAGAGCCTACTGTCAACTCCCAACGATCATATTGCCCTTTAGAGGCAGGCTGAAGCTGTAAAAATGCCCCCATCAATGACAGTGTGAGCTTGAGTGGGTGCTAGCAGGCTTCTGCACCAAGCTCATGCATGCTCGCTGCAGCCACGTGTCGGGTGCTTAGAAATTCTGAAGAGGTTGTTGTAGAAATCAGTCTGCTTTATAGCAAGGCAGAATTAATATTGTTTTTCACTTTGGTGCGAAGATAACCAAATTCCTGTTGAATGGCAAGTAAAAAAAATTACTTTGATGTATACATAAAAACAGGAAGCATTTACAGTTTCCCTGGATGGTATATAGTGCGGCAGTTAAACAACAGAATGATGGGTGTTAAAGTGATTTAGTGCTATTTCAAGATATATGTTATTTTTACAGCACTTTGGTAAAATCAGATGCATATTTCCTGCACAGAACAAATGTGTGTTCTTCCACCAAAAGTTTGATTCAAAAACCTGATGTAGCCAGAGTGTTTTTCTCTTAAAAGTTAAACACACAGTAAAGAGAGGGAAAGTGCATATAATAGATGAAGGTATTACCTATGTCTTCAGAAATAACCCTCCTCAAATACATTTTCCTTTTACATTTATTTTAGTCCAAAAATTTATGAAAATATAACAGAATCTACTGTCTGTGTTAACAGGTGTTGTGGTCCATTATTACAAGATTTTCTCACTCCATTTCTTTAAAAAGGCTGTATTCTAGTGCTAGTTATATCTGTTCGCAAAGCAGTAATGCATATTTAGAACTCTAAAGTATATAAGCTACATTTAATATTAAAGAGTTTACTTTGTCCAGCAAATTTTATCTATGAAATCTTGCATAGTCATTTTGTCCCATTCTTCTGCATGTGGAGCCTTCCATGGGGCTTCACTGGGAATCTAAGGAGACCAAAGAGCATTCATCAGCAAGTGAACAAGTGGCATAAAAAACAGATAACTAACACAATCAATCACAAATGATCTTATCTTTACATGGCAATTCAATTTGCACATTCCAGGCAGGTGATACAGTGAGCTTAACAGAGGATACTTTTAGGTTTTTCCTGTTTGTTTTAAGATTTTCGTGTTAGGTTTAAGAATAGAGGGTAATTTTAGCATTAAGAACTTTGCCTAGAAATTCAAATTACAGTGTTAGGGAATGTCTCTGAGTTATTTCATATCTCTCACATTCATCTATACAAGTAACAGCAACCTCTTCTCAAAGTCTTTCAGCTCAGTCAACAGGAAACATACATGACTGGTAACAAACTAAAGCGGCTGAGCTGAATTGGAGGGTGGAGAAGGGCATATGTTGAAGGTCTACAAACCTCTTAAAACATTACTTACCCAATCATCAAGAAAAGTGCTAAGAATCACATGCACAAACCCTAATGTTCACATATGCAGAAATATGAAGGTATGACTGCAGACAGCCTCAGCAACATGGCCTTCAGAAAAGCTTGCTAGGATGCCACTCATAACATGTGCTCTGACCATCAGCATGTACAAAAATGCACAACATAGTGCTGCTCTTGCCAGCACCAGGTTTGTTCAAGCTAGAGCAGCCTGGACTATCTGCATCCTAGTCCTTTCTTCACTCTGCCCTTCATGGAAACAAAGCTGAGCTGAGACGGGCAGCTGCAACTCCTCATGCCATACCTCCTTTCCCATTTCATCCATGGTCCTCCATAGGTTGTTGTAGTCCAGGTAGGCTAACGGATTCCACACAGTAGGGAACGGACCTTTAAAGGGGTAAGACTTACCCTGCAAGATGAAAAACAAACAAAAACATCATAAAAACAAATACAACCATAATCATGGCTTCTCTGTGCAGAAGCTGCACCAATTGCTTAAGTGCTCACTGGAAGAAAGCACAAATATAACCAATACATGTAACAGCTTCCGATAGATCATGTCTGTGTGTGCATGTAGAACAAGAAGCAATGGGCACAAAATGAAACACAGGAGCTTCCATCTGAATTTAAGGAAACACTTCTTCAGTGTGAGGGTGACCAAGCACTGGCACAGGTCACTCAGTGAGGCTGTGGAGTCTCCAGCCTTCGAGATATTAAAAAACCATCTTGACACGGTCCTGGGCAACTGGCTCTAGGAGGCCCTGCTTGAGCAGGGGGTTGAACAAGATGACCTCCAGAGGTCCTGTCCAACCTCAATCATTCTGTGATCCTGTTATTCTACATATACAACTTAAGTGTGATACACAGTTGAATTAAGTCAGTTGTGTGCAGAATTGATAATGCCTTGTATCTTCAAAGCTTTATATTGGGCGATTCTGGGCAACAAAACTAACACTCTGCAGTAGAGTAACTACGATCAGACCAAAAAGAATGAGATGGAACAGCATCGCTCAACTGAGATGAAAAATGGAAACAGATGTTACACTTTTTTCTGTTAAATGTTCATTAAAAGAATGAACTGTTAATTGTATTTAGTGGGGTTGTTTTTTCTTTCAAAATCAGACAAAATCAGCTGTGATGACCTTTATTATAGGCTAAAATCACAGCTTGGTGCCTTTCCTGGAAAAAAATAGTTTCAGCTAACCTAAAAATCCCTAGCCCTACAGAAAATGTAGCATTTACTAATAATGACTCATTATTCCAATCCAACTCCTCTAGCCATAAATTCCAGACAGTGATAGTATGGCCAATATGAATGTCACTATATATTTAATAGTTAGATTCTATATATCTATATATCCACCACTAGATATTCAGAAAGTCTAGCTGAACTAAGAATAGAAGATGACAGGTAACTTCTAGAACTATTTCATTTGCATGGGACTTCCCTGGTTGACTATATGGATGGCAGCATAACAGCTTTAAAAATTCACAAAGAAATGCTCATTAGCATTATGTGGTTACTCATTTTTTCACAATGCATTCTGGACTCCATAAAATAGATCAACAATAAAGGCCGTATTGTGTGCCACAGCTGATTTTTCAAAGCTTATATTAAATTATGTATTTAAGTGGGCACTGTATTAGCATGAATATCAACTGGAAGAAGTACTAACTTTCAATAGATATTTGATGCAGTGCCACACCAACCCTTCACTGAAAAAAAATTTACGCTGGCTTCAGAAGAAATACTGCATCAAGATTCAATATTTAGAACCAAGGAACAACACCACCAGTGTCTTGTTGACAAGAAGTATCCGAAGACCACTTACGCAAAGGAGTATCAGTCTTGATTTGATTTAGCCTCTTTATTAATAATGTGAAAGAAGGGACAGAGAGCACATTATTCAAATCTGCAAGTGTTTGCAAGGACTTCTAATTCAAACTGAGAGATAGAAAGCAGTAAGACCAAAAATCAAACCTAAAGATAAGAGAAAATTAGTTTACAAAAACACCCCAGCAGGTTAAAGAAAGTGAAGAAGAAACTGTTTTTTCACCTAGTCTTTGTACAGACATAGGACTCTTAACAGAATCCTTGCAAGAAAAACCAAGGTAGAAAGCAAAGTGTAGGAGGAAAGAAATTAATTCTTTGGTACATAGACACATGAAGAAGTAGCTGCAAAACAACAATTTCATTTTGCAGGGCTTCTGAGGAGAGATTATGGTTTGTAAAATTCCAGAACATCGAATTTTAACAAGTTTTTCAGTCAAAAGGTTTGTCATAGCCAGAGTAGACCTCCAGTCACTTCACGAGCCAGAGGTACCAAGGTTGAAAACTTAGCATTTCCGAATCAAGAACGGACATTACAGCACATGTTCACAAATACTCCAGAAAATGGAGGTGTGGTTTGTTTTGGTTTGGTTTTTTGGTTTTTTTTACATTCAGTGCATTTCTACAGCTCTTGTGCTCAGCCATATGAAAATACATTAAACTGAAATCAAGAAAACATATCCCTGTAGACAGAGATGAACACAGTGAGCTTGTTTTATCAGAAGCATTTGGTCCCGACATGGACATTTGGTTACTATTACAGAGTCTCTTAACATTACCTTAATTTGAACTGGGGCACACCTTCATACTCAGCTGCCAAAGGGCTATGAAAGAGCAACAAAAGCTCTCAGACTGAGTACCTACCTTCCTGTCCCAGCTAGTAACATCTGAACCACCTTGGTTACCTTTTAGCCTTTTTGGGCACATTAAAATTCCATAACTAACTCCTATGGCAGCCAGAAGTCAGTTTTACTGTGCCGCCTTCTGAAAACTGGAGCCACTCTTCACCAGTGTAAACACCAGACAGAGCATATCAGTTTGGTTTAAAGTATCTAGCATTTCCCAGATTTACATTTACAAAACCTGTATCCTGCTGTGCTCAAGAAAACCAGGGCAGCATCAGAATGGGTTATTCCAATTACTGATTTTGTTCTGAGCTTCCTGCTCAGCCAGAGGCAATCTTAACTGAGTTATTCCCTCTGAGTTAACTCAAGTCTTATGAATTCCTTGCGGTGCTTCCTCATGAGCACAGGCTAAGAGACAAACAAAACATATCTTTGTTTTAGTACTCTTCTATTTCACCGCATTTGAACTGCTGAAAGGGAAATCTTTGGTATGCCTCTTGTGCAGAAACCTGGGGAAACAAGTCTCATAAAGCACAAGAACAAACTTCAACCTGGAAAAATAAAAACAATCATAAAAGCAAGGGAGTCTCCTGTGAAAGCTACCTTCAAGAGCTCCTAAGACATTACCTAAGGCCTGATCCTTCTTTCCTACACAGACAAAACTCCAAGAGCTGTCAATCAGAATTTTGTTTGAGAAGAAACTGCAAGATTAGGCTCTACACAGAAACAAAAATAGCAGCATCAAAGAAAGACTACACATAGCTCTGAGTAATTTCCAACAAACGGAAACATTTCAGCTCTACTTATCACGAATTTGCACTTTTGCAAAAAACAACCACCTTATTGATATTTAGGCAAAATTTGCCTATTTCTATCATATTGCTGGGAATAGCATTCTCCATACCTCCTGATGCTGTATAATCTCTAAAGAAAAACAAGACACAGATGAAAAATATGCCCCAAGATACACAAAACATTTCCTTTTCAATTTTTTTTATACCTAAATCAGAGCAGTATAAAACCAGCAATAATAACAACCACCCCTTCTAACCATTTGACATTTCAACACCAGCCCTATAATGCTCAGAATTATTTTTTTTTTTTTTTTTTTTTTTTTTTTTTTGGTCTTGGGGGTTTTTTAAAAACGACATATAATTTTTTTTTTTTTTTTTTTTTTTTTTTTTTTAGGGCTTAGTGGTATTTAATACAGGCATATATATTTTTTAGAAACTGTTTCATGATGCCACTTGCAATGCAGCAGAACACCACCATCAGCCTACCTGCTACTGTATGGGTCACCTGCTGCTTACAAAGGCTGTTGTTGCAGTATGGGCTATGGCATATTTAAGAAACTGAAACTATAGGGAGGAAACTCATGCAACACAGATGTCTCAGGAATAAATAAACAGGGAAATGAGAAATCCACTTTGTCACAAATATTACAATTCTCAATAGATTCTTCTCATGCATCTGCTTCACGTCAACCAGCGTTTGGTTCAGTTACGCTGGACGCAAGTGATACAAGTAGTATGGAAAAAACTTTCCGCATACATGAGCTCTATTTCAGGTAAAATAGTTGACATAAGAAGTAGATTATTACAGGGGAAAAAAAACCACAGCATGGCAACGCAATATGAGCAGCTGGGAGGGCACAGGGACCAGATCCCACACACATTTTCCTGGGAGGGTAAGAGTGAGTGAACGGTTGGCTGAGAAAGGACACACTCTGCCAGGAAATATCATCAGTACCTCAATGCAGAGTGGGATCTCAGGAGAAAGTCTACTTTTGCAGGCACAAGACAACTTTATGCTCCCCCTAAACATTATGTGCCCAGGTAGCGCCCAAGTGGGTGTGGTATTGTGAACTGAAGCCCCTGGTGCCACTGATACATGCATTTTCTTATAACACAGTATAAACATTTTATAAATATAGTCAGCTTCCATTGGAAGAAATTAGACAGTGGGGTGCATTCTCTGCATCACTGAGTGAGCACAGATATTCCCTCAGCTAAACTATCTAAACCTTGCAGTAACTGATGCTAACTTCACCAAGATGTCACTCTGCATGTTAATTCACAGTTACATAGGTTTCTAGGCACGTAGTGCCCTCTGCTGATTCACAGCACTGGTACATCACACACACCTTGGTCTCTCAACTTAAAATCCTAGCAACATCATTCATATGAAGCACAGAAACAGTAAGATGCAAAGTTGTGAGAAGGAAAACAAGAAACAGAAAAGCATCACTTCAGGCTCTAACTCTATACCCGTCTCAGATACTCAGTTTCCCATCTGCTGCCCTGTGGAAAACTGTCCTTTTGGTTTGGTTTGTGTGGGGTGTTTTGGGTTGTTGTTTTTTTTTAATCTATAGCATCTAGCAGTATGTATCTTTCAGACTAAGCCACCTGTGTAATCATAATTCTCAGTAAAACATGGCAACCAGCTGGAGCAAGCTGAGAGAGGTATACAGGCGTACTTAGAAAACAGTAACAGTGTTGAGCTTCACTGAAGTTCTCTTCTTTGAGAAATTGTTCAGGAGCTCATACACTCAGATGGTTACTATACTGACAGTATCCTAAAGGTCAAAAGATAAATAAGTTAGAAAATATAAACGCAGCACAAAGAAATCTGAATAACTGATGGTGTGAAGCTCCAATATTAAGACACACCAAAATATCCTCCAAATATCTTTCAGTATCTAATTTGAGATCATCAGCTGTGGACGCC